TTAATTTCTTCAACTGCTAATTGTATTTGTCTATGCATGCAGTTATCTAATTTACATTGCAGCTATGCTAGTTAAGACACTGAGCTCCTTGTGTGATTTGAATACATATTTGCAAGCCTACAAAGTTTTGAAGAGCTGCCCTGCACTGCATCTTCCCCATGTCTAATACTGGAAAATAAATCACCTGCTGCCACTATTACTGTTATCAATATTCAGCTGAGAACAACGCATAGATCAAGGTAGGGGTAGAGGGTTTGGAAGCCTAGGCAGAAGGTGTGTCATGAGACAGAACTATTATTCTGGAGAAGCCTGTGTTTCATACAGGAATGAAACAAATATTTTACAGAGCTATATGGACAGATACCATTGTGAAGCCAAAAAGGATGCCTGGGACAAACCTTATCAACTGCTCAGTTCTAATCATAGGCATTTTAATAGTTTTTCTGTTTACAAATACTCAATTATTATAATTCCTACTAACTAGTTTTTATAACTTTTATCCTAATGATACATTTGCCATCCTACTAGAATCAATGGATTTGTCTGTGGATAAGTACAAGCATAGCTTGAACTGGAGTTGATCTGTTTATTAAAGCAGTAGGTATTTATATTCGGAAATGAAGAAAACCTGCTCGTGGATTTTATGCAACTTCATTTTTCCTTCATTAAAACTTCTGTTTATTGAACAACTGCAGAACTTGAGACTTTAAGAGTGCTTGCATTTCTTAACTCTGTTTTTCTGACCTCTTTCTGAAGGAGTCTAGGGAGACTAATTTAGAAACCTCCATTATATTCCCAGAGGAAAGTGGTGCGGACATTCCTATTTGTGTCAAACTGTGTCTGAGTGCATATATTGACTTTACTGGAGTAGCTTGGGCTTTTCACCACTGAATGGGACCTTAGTGTCCTGTGAGTTTTATGCAGTTGAACATCCAAGTCAGGAACGGTATAATATTTCCAAGGAATGTGTATTTAAACATTGGTAATCATAAGATTTTTAACCATTTTTCTCCCTGTTACCATTCATGAAAGTAAATTGGGCTAAAATAGTCATATACCTAATATATTCTAGAACCTAATATTTATGTGTTGAACTCTTTCAAATTTATTTCCTGGACTTCTCTAGGGATGTAAGCATAATGTACATTATTTCTTCTTGTAATAGATATGAGCACAATGGTATGCTCTAGTAGTAACTCACTTTATGCACAAATTTTTGAGCTCTAGAAGTTAATTTAGTTAAACTAAACTTTGAGAGTCAAGCCCTCCTTCTCCTTATGTGGAGTTTTTCTTAGAATGTGAAACATATTTTCCTCCTGAATACAGTGCAAATTTTTCTTAAAAAGGTGCTTTGTAAACAAGCTATTATGGTACTAAAAAAAAATTGATTAGTTTTAAATGGCAGTAACAATTCAAGTGCATGTAAAGACAAGTGCATTTGCTTTTGAGGTTAAGCCTGTGCATTTAATAATTGAAGGAAAAATACAATAAGGTCCAATAGAGGAAGCTTCTGTGAAATACATTATGCAATAACTTACAACTGCCATAATTATAATTGCCTTACCAGATCATATTATGGTTTCCACTCAGACTGTTTTTTTTTTTAAACAAAATATTTCTTTATTACTTTGTTATTTGGAAATATTTATTATTTGGAAAAGGTTATACATTGTGTGTTGATTCAGGAAATCTGAAAATCAAGACACCTTCAGAAGGAATTCAAGTGAATATGGTATCCAGCTGAAGTGATCTACTTATTTTTATTGTTAACATTGCCTTTTGGATGTCAAAACTCAATTTTTATAGGTGGGAGGATTTCTTTTCCAGTTCCTCCAATTTAATTGTAAGTGTTACGTTTTGCTTAATTTAAGAATTGTAGAAAACAGATTTTGGCTATATATTGTGCAGTTTAACTTTAAAAGATTCTTGATTCTTTTTTTTTATTTTTTGAGTTGCATATGTCATTAACTGTCAAGATCAGGGCTAAATTTTATTATTCACACAGCTTGTGTGCTCCAAAAAAGCTTTATGGCCTGAAAAAACCTAAAACCGCGCAATCTGAAACAACAGAAACCTTCCACCTATTTCAGAGACTGAGGGAGTGATTTCTCTGAAGTTGCAGAAGATGTCTCAGGCAGAGAGAGAGGAATCTTCACTCAGTGTGATAACCCCCAAGCCATTCTCCTTCCTGTCTGTAATGAAATTCCAGATCTGTTAGTCCTTTTCTGGAATGGTATATGAGGAAGGGCAGAAAGAGTGGGACTGAAATGAAAATGTGATGGCTGTCTTCACATACATAACAGTCTGTTGCGAAAGGGAATATTCTCATTCTTCATTACAGAAGACAGTCCAAGTCCTTACAGTAGCAAGGATTCAGATTATACATTAAAAAAACCCTTTTATAATAGTAATATAATAAAGCACTGAAATACATTACCTGGGATGTTGTGAAGTCTTTGTCTTTGGACAGAGACAGGAACAGGTTAAAGAACAGCTGTCTGAAATTATACAGATACACTTATCCCAACTGCCAGACTTTATTTTTCTGTTATCCAAACAAAACTTCTATGTCATCAACTGGAGTTTGGATTACAGGATTTGGCCCATGTTATTTTTGCTTTATCCAGCTTCGTGGGTAGCCAGCAGTTACGCGGTTTATATAATGTGTAATGCTCTGTGAAAATATAAAGGCCACGTTGGCATAAACGTATAACAGTATAAACTGCATATTATATCTCATATCACATATAAGTAAGTATTCATGGAAACATTTGTGGCTTTGTGTTTAGTTTCCTTTTTGTGTATGCAAATAGATTATCTTTGTATGACTGCATGCATACTTTGTGGTTGGTTATGTGTGTTTAAAATGTTGGTCAACAAAAGATAGAAGTAATATTTTGTGTGAAATATTATTACTTTTTTTCATTTGCATACCCATTTAATCCTTGTAGCTCATGGAATTTCTTGCTGGCATTAGACTAAAAACAAGTTTTGGGAAAGCCGTGAAATATTGAAAGGTAGCAAGCTTCCAGACTGACTTATGAAGGCCAATACATACAAAATAAGCAGGAGAAAAGAGAAACAGCACATAGGAAACAAATGAAAAGGCGTTCCGGGGTGGCATTGTTTGCAGAGTAAAGGGGAACAGAGCAAAACAAAAGGCTGATGAGGAGAAAAGCAGGAAAAGGTAAGACACATGAAGAACTCCAGAGGATGGGGAACATGAATTTAAGGTGGTAGATTATGGCCCAAACCAGGATTTTAGGGACTGAAATTAAAATTTGCATCTTAGGAATGGAAGAAGAAACCAAGCTTAAGACTTAGCCTGGATGGAAGACGCAAAAGAGAGAAAATAGTCAGACATCTTAACCAAGAAGTTGCACTGGATTAGGCCCAAAACTGTGATGAGGAAGTAGTGGGAAGATGTTGGGCTAATAGAATATTTTGTCTGTTAATGGCAATTTTAGTCTGATCCAAAGCTCAGGGAGTTAATAGCATTTATATGTAGTTTCAATAAGAAGTCCATTTTAATAGTGATTGGGCTAAAGTCCCCTCTTATGAAAAAGTGTTGTGCTTAAAGTATAAAAGTGAAGTTTTAAGTGTTAAGAATAGCTTTTCACAAAGAAAGATTTCCCAAGACACTCTTGTTATTCCATATTAAAATATGTGGCATAGGTTAGAGAAGAGAATGATACAGTTTAATACAGCTGTTTGGTTAGTATGGGCCTTCATTGTTCAATCCCAACTATAACTCCTGTGCGTATTGCAGCTCTTCATATTTCACACCAAAATATGTAAAGTCACACAATCTATTTTCTGTAAATGCTAATATGTGCATACAGACATGTACGTAGTCTGCAGTGATCTCTGATCTGGCATAGATATTTTGTAAGGACCTCCAGCTCAATAGCCTTAAAGATGATAAATGAAAATATAAATGTAAGGGGAAAGTATCAAAGTCAATAATGAACTTTTTTTGCATAAAATAACCATTATGTCCAACATTTTACAAAGATGTCCTTTCTCAGCTTAATGCATGCTGATAAACATCAGTTGTATACTACATTTCCCTCTCATCTCACCACCCCATATCTGCAGTTTTTCCTTCTGTCTACTCCTCTTAAAATCCAATTTTCTAGTTATACTAGTGTTTATTAAAAGCTTGACTGTAAAGTCTTTGTTTACCCAAAGATCTATTTTTTATCATAACTGTTTATAATGGTTGAACCTCAACAGCTTAAACACTTTATACAAAATAATGTATTTTCAATAAATTGAAATATTAACCAATCATATGTAATGGTTCAGTTCTAGCAAATGGTTTGCTAGAAATCCTCAGGGTTTCGTATAAATTGAAAACTGTATTGACTGACCAGGCTGCACTCGAATTACATTGCATTTGGATCAAAAAGCATAGAAAAAGTTCTCATTATAGTTCCCTGACATTAATTTGAGCATTTTTATATGTGTGTCCTATTAAGTACTTTAAGTGCTTTTTGATAATTGTGCTTTGTAGTTTTTACAGCACTTCAGCCTATTCCCAGTTCAATTTCCTCTTTTATCCGATGTTTGAAATATTGATTTCTGACAGATAAAAGCAAACCTTATAATCTCAGCAGCATGCAATAAGTGAGTAAGACGGAGCCACAGAATGCATCAGGGAATGGTCATATTTGAAACCGTCTTTGTTTTATTACATTTCGTCAACAGAATTTACTTACAGCTTGCTGATATTTATGTAAAAGCAGGACTCCTGATAGTCCAGTAATATTACCGGTTCCTGGTATACTTTTGCATTTAGTAAGATAAAAGAAGAAACTCCCTTGGTGGTTGATGATTGCAGCCGCTTAAACTGCTGTCAGCTGGCTTGAAGTAACTGTGATTTATCTTCTTCAGATTGTGGAGCGTTGTGTCCATGAACTTCCAGAGTCTGCATTAAAAACTGACAGAATATCAGAGTGCCAGAAACTTCTCATATTGTGGCTTGTTCTGTCTTTCAGAACACTGTTCAAGCCCTCTGCCAAGCTCTTGTGACGTGGAAGAGGCCTATCGGAAATGGGTGAGAATTTTGAACACGGACTGAAAACAAAGGATGTTAAAGAATAGACATCAATGTTCTTTTTTTCTTATTTTCATGATGTCTCTTCCCTAGATTCTAGAAACTAAAAAGCAGACTGAAGAATTCAATCTAATATGATTTCTAGCTCAGCAGCTAATGTGACTCTCAGAATTCAGTTCGTCTGTATCCTCTTCCCCTTTTCAGTATCCAGTATAAGCCCTTTTCTGTCTCACAAGTAACATTGCATTGAACACCTCCACTCAGCTCCACCACCACTTGCAGTGAAAAGCAGAATATGTGGTCTACAGGGGATGATCTGCTTCATTCCTGGCAGTATTTCCTCTGAAGTTATGAAAATCAAGATAGCAATACTGTTCTAGAAGGCAAGAAAGGTTCTTTAAGCTACACAGTAGCTCTGGCAATCAGTAGTAGATCTATCAGTGTGAGAACACAACAGAATCTCCATCCTTAAGACCAGGTCAGGATGAACCTGAGTATTTTTCTCTTGATACATGCATTTTTTTTAGAGGGATCAATTTACCTGGGAACACATGCAGGTGCAACAAAGGAAAGGGAGGGATTGTTTTTGATAATCTAGACATTTCTAAAATGAATATTAAGATATTATTTAATCCCAAATTAACCATTGTTTATGTAATACTGCCTGATAATTCAGCTGCATTTTTTTCTCAATCCTGGAAATACTTAACACAACCACCTTGCAACTGTCTAGGCCTGCATACACTTAGATATAGGGTAGTTTTCACAGAAAGGGCATTTAGAAAAATGTTATATTAGTGAATCTTGGTTGTTATGGACTGGAACTCTGCCAGGCACTTAGCAGTTAAAGATTTAATCTCCCAGCAATTAAAGATTTCATTACTAAGCAATTAGCACTTAAAGTTTTAAGTGATAAGCACTTGACTGCATTCTGGAAATGCTGGTTGGTGACAGCAAAGCTGGCCAGGGTTCTGAGGAACAGCAAGCCTGGAAAAGTGATTTGGGGACGGCTGCTAGGGAGAGAAGAGGTTCTGAGCCCTGATGCATGCCCTGATCATGGTCAATAGGATAAAGCCTGATGGAGCAAAGCATGCTAAGTGATAGAATGGACTCAAGGTGGAGCCTGGAGGGAAACAGAAAACAGCTGAGGAATCAGGAAAGCTAAGTGACTTTGGAGTTGAGTTTAATACCAAGTTAGAGCTAGAGATCTAAACTTGAGGATCCAGGGGTGTATCCCAGTCCGTCCTGGCTCCATCTGGATGAGGCTGCTGCCTTCAGGGTATTTCATGATATTTACATGCCATACAGTGTAAACATAGGCAGACAGTGCTGTTGCAGGCAGGGAAGAAGGACTGGATGGAGTCAAGTTCTGCGGAAAGGCTTCTTCGGTGATGATTTGAGGGTCAGGAAGAGTGAACCAGCAAGGCTACCAAATTGAAATAGTTAGAGATTTGCCAATAAGAAGAAAGATAGGGAGAAGATGACAGAGGGAAAACTTAGTTGAATTACATTTAACAGCAAATGTGTCATTGAATATTCAAGTAAAAACTATAAGGCTGGATTATTACAAAATAATCTTATGTTTCTAAATCCAACTTTAACATGCTAGCAGAACCTACCCAAATTTCTGCATCCCAGCAGTCCAACATAGAAATGTACATGCATATATTCAACATATGCAGGTAAACCATCAATATAAAGATTCTGCAGTGAATGATATCATAAGTGCAGCCAGTCTGCATTAGAATTTCAAAGGAGCTATTTAGCATTTTTCATATTGGTTTGGTTATTTACAGTTCATTATTTAAAAAGAAAAAGCATTGGAAAAAGTTTATCTTCTAATAAATCAAAACCATTGTGAAGTCAAGTCCCAAAGCCTAAAGGTAGCTGCTCTGCAGAAGCTGTCTCTTATAAAATATTATGTATACTACATTGTATTAGATGGTTGAATGGAAAGTGCTGCTATGAAGAATTGGAATCAATTAGAAATGCAAAAGTACAATGTGGAAAAATAGACCTAGGATTTTTTATTGGGGTAGTTGTGGGAATCAAGCTGGGAAACAAGCCATTATATATACCATTTGACATTTTCTGACAGTTGTCAGAATCTCAGTCTGACATTATATATAATGCTGTATGCATGCACACCATAGTATTACAGCTGATAAAATTACCTAATATTTTTACCTGTGTTTTCAAAGCCCTTTAAATTTAAATTTTGTTGTTTCAACTAATAGCTCTGGACAAACCAAGACTAGTGCTGTTGAACAGCTTCAAAAGACTGAAATACAATATCCCTAAATTTGCGCATAGGATTATGTTGATCTCAATGGGATTACCACTTGCTCAGCTTTACTTGTTGGAGGACGGCATCTTTGAATAAAACAAAATAATAAAGAGATAAATTGTCAAACAAGTACAGAACAAGTTCAGGTGTACAAGCGCCTGTGATTTAAGTGAACAGGTAGCTATAGGGATAGTTATGTGGACTAAAATAAGTATAAAGGAAATCTGACTCCATTTTCCAGTACTTTTTAAAAAAAGTTTCTTTCAGTAGTAAACATACGTGGTAATGAAACACTTCACCAAGTTTCTTTTTGTTGCTAAATATATATTTTTTAAGTTTATCTATAGACAATGGGATCAAGAAGTTAAAATGCAGCTAGCTGTTATTCCTGTCTTCTTGCTTATACACTGAAATTTTTGAAGAACTGCAGCAAATTTTGAAACTGAATGTTTTGGAGTGCTTCAGATAAAATGATTGGAATTTTTCTGCTTAATGTGTATATTTAGCCAATTCAAAAGGCCTAATTTGGGCCTTTTGTGCGTATATTTGAAAACTGGGCAAAGAATATGCACCATTCCTTCATTGCTTACTCAATTATTGACTATTTGAAACTGAATTTCAACACTACTCTCATCTGCCACCCTACAGTCATTACATCTTTCAGTATCTCAGCTGATGGAAGCAGTTACTATATGGTTAGTAGCTTGTGCTCTCTGCTACAAAGCCAAAAGAAATTTTTGCATTTGCACCACTCCAGAACACATACACACTGTATGTTACAGGCACAAACTAGCATATTTTACTAGTACATTTTCTATTTGGGGTCACCTCTGTAAAGCATCAGAGAACAAATTAAGTCACCTTACTAGATGACTTCTCTCATCTTGGGCAGTCTGAGCAGCTGTGATTTCCATTTCCATGTATACTGTAGAAGAGATTTAGCACGTCGTAATGATAGAGTAAATACTGCTTATAGTGTTTTTGCTTACTCCCAAGTTTTCTGGTTTTTTGAGCAAAAGCCACTTTAAAATTTCACTTGAGATTTTTGGAGCATCTTTTTCAATAGAATACAATATTTTTAATGGGATTTATCCTCTGGCTCTCCCAATAGGATGCTTGAGGAATTAGTGCGCCAGGAATAGGCTCATAGTTTTTTTTAATATTTATTTTAAAAGGTAGGCAAAGTAATAACATTAGAATATGTTTATAACATTAAATAAGTAACTCATCTACTTCATAAAAACAATGCAGATTAAATTCCTTTTTTACCTCAGTTTCTCCACCTTCCTTTTTCTCTTTTATCCTCTTTGATATCTGCAGCTGTTGTCTGACAAATAAGGCCAGCAGCTGCCTGCAGTGCTGCTGTTTTACCAGCTGCTAAAGGTCTACCATTCACCAGGCAGCCAGTTCTCTCTGTTCCTCTGTAGAGAGTACATGTTTATCAGCTTGGTGACACAGTCTTCAAGCTGACAATCCAGTCTTGTCACAAGCTTTCAACCTGGAAGTACTCAGCAGCTAGTCTGCTCATGTTGAATTCCTTGTTAAACAAAGTGTCTAAAGTGTCAGAAGAATGATATCAACCACATTACAATGCTATAACCAAATGGTAATATTTCTCTTTATTTTAGCTCCTTAGTATCGTCTTTGGCTGAGTAGGAAAGAACATAGTTTGCCTGACCCTGGAAACCTTGTTTCAACATTTGTTATTGGAAGAAGTTATGGCTTGCAAAAGATAAAATGTATTTCAAATATCAAATTTCTCCCTATGCTGAGCTTAAATGCTGCCTTGATGTATGCCTTGTACACTCTCTGTTGACAGATGTGAAGTTCAAGTAAGAGCACAATTTGACCAGCTAAATTTAACATAATAGGATGATGATTACTACAACGGCAAAGGATTTTCTAAACATCAAATGCTATAGCGTGTCTGATTTCTGTGTTCAGATTTAGTCCTAGATAGTCTAGTTATAGGGTTGTACGGTAATGAACTCGCCAAGAAATATCTTTCTATTATAGTTGTGATCTAAAGTGTATTGTGTTTCAAATGGTGGCTGCTCAGTGAGGTACTGGGAAAGATTTATTTGAATGTACGTTTACCTTAATGTTCTTAGCCTTTTTATCTTCTTATTCTTTCTTCCTTTCAAATATTTGGATCATATTTTTAATCTTAGAATCTATTCAGGGAATTGTTCAAAGTACTAGTATTGTTAAAAGAAATAGTAGTTTCAAATTCTGCATTATAACAAAAGTCAGTTTTTTGCTGAATTCTGGGAGAGGCTTTAATGATGTTAATAAAACCCTTTTTTTAATAGCATTTGTAAATGTGGAGAACATGTATACCTGGAATTTTTGCCAGTGACTGAGACATAGCTGTATGGAAGTGACCCACTGTTATGGCCTTGTCTTTACTACTCTTACTAGAGAACAGAGTCACACAAATTGACACACAAGATCTTGCGCACCATAATTTTTTCAGCAGCTCCACAGAATAAAAGAACTTTCAATTTCTGTGCAAAATGAGCACCCACAGCAGAGCAGATTGAGTTTTTTTCAGTGAAATGGACCTGTATCAAACTTTTCTCAGTTTCAGTAAAGGTGGAATGACAGCGAAAGACCTCCTTTGCAACAGCAAGATAGTAATAAGTGCTTATCAGGTTGCAATCTGAGGTATTCAATCAGATATGGATTTTTCAGAAAGGCCAAGGAGTTTCAGCACTCAATTAGCACTGATTAACAGAATATGTTCCCACATGATGCATCACAGTCATTCATCCTTCATTCTTAACTTTTGGTTTCACCTGCCCCTGCAAATGGTTTGTGGAAAAGCAAAGTGCAGAGGGTATTTCCATTACACATTTTGCAAAAGCTTAAGGAAGGAACATTGAGATAGAAGTGCCCAAAACTGAATTCCTTGTACTTGTCTGGGATGTGAGTGATACAAGTTCAAACTTTCAGCATATTTTACCAGAGCAAGAAATTGACTTTTGGTTTCTTCCATTACTAGCTGAGTGAGCAAATTGCTGGGATATTGGCTCTTCTGAGTACTTACAACAATTTTTTCTCACCATCTCTTCCAAAGGTTTCAACCCAATATAAATTAAAAAAAAAATTGACTTCCTAAAACTCTTTTCTGCCGAACTCTAATTATCAAGGTTTGTTCACAGCTTGAACCATTCTTTTCATATACTGCAATTTGAAGTCACCACGTCTTGAGAAACCATAAAGGAGTGTTTTTAGGGGTAATTTGGGTAATTTAGGTAAAAACTGTGGGGTTCTGTTTATATATTTTGTTGTAGATGTGTAATTTTTTTTTTAGAGGTGAATGGATACTGGCTTAACATCATGCACTTGATGTTTTTCTCTGGTCAGAATAAAATCATTGTCATGTATAAAACAGTTTCACTTAGGATCAGGCTTCCTGGCTATCCTGTGGCCCTATAAAAGCCTGTTTATGCAGGTCAAGTCAGTCAGAAACGTATTGCCTGAACCCCTGTTTGTCAGACAAGGCAAAGAAGATTATTGTCAAGATCAAAAGGCTTCACAAAATCAGTTACTTCCCCTTGAGCATTTTCTTGAAAGGGGAGAAACAGAAGAAATTGACAGTTTCATTATATGTAGGATAACATGGGTATATTTTTCCTTCCTAGATAATTCTTTTTCACAATTTTTTTATTTTATATTTACACATCTGTGATGGAACTGATTCCCTGCTGATACCAGGCAGGAAAGTACTAAGGAAAGCCAGGGAGCTGTGCTCCAGGAGCACCTGTCAGCTGTGCACCTCGTTAGCTTAATGAGAAAGGACTGTGAAGTAAAACAGAAGGTGATTGGCCCAAAGAAGGTGCCATTTTTGAGCCTGGTCAGAAAGGAATGATTTCTGAGCCTGCTCAGCTTGGGGCTTGAGGGCAGTGTGGTGTGTGGGAGGATGCCCCAGAGGAGTGGCTGGCTGGCTGGCTGGCTGTGAGTGAGTGGAGCTGGGCAGTGGGGTGGGGAAGGCCCTGGGAGGAGGACAGGCCTGTGCTTCTTTGACCCCAGAGGCTCTGTGCAGTGGAGCATGCTGCTTGTTAGCACTGTGCACATCCTCACACTTCAGATTATAGCATAGAGGTTTTATTTTTTTAGCCAGAGAAGGAATTCTGGGGCAAAACAAACTCTGCCTAGGAGTGGAAGGATGTGAAATTTGGGTTGCTTGTCCTTAAAGAAAGGAAAAGCATGGCCTACACAAGCTCTTAGAGTATGTAGAGTGTTGTCTGGATTTTTATCCTGTGATTTGTGTAGAAAGTACCTATATGCTAAAGAGAAATCAGCTTGTTCTTTTATAGGTACATTTTGTGTAGGGACCATACTGCGCAGGGTGCAAAGAGGGCTTGGTAGAGCGCTCCTGTGCACTGGTTATTTGCAATCTGAGTGTTTAGGACAATGTGAAAAAAGCTCACTCTGCCCTTTCAAGGGGGTTTATACCTTTGCCTTAGGCCTGTGTTAACGCTATCACTTGGCTCTTTTCAGCTCTGACCACTGAGGGGAGTGAGCTTTCTTCTACCTGTACTATATAGCTTAAAAATACCTGTGTGTTAAGTTACTGTGCAGTCCTGGCTGGTGCCTTGAGATAATACTGAAATATAAGCAAGGATTAATTGCTAGTGCAACTCACAAACATCAAAAGGTGAGTCTTGTACTGTGAAGAAAAAGAAAATGTGTATTTCTGAAAACAAACACTTTATTTGGGTATTAATTTTGCTACTAAAAGATATAAAGGCAGCCAGGGCATGAAGGGGAAAAGCTGTAAAATAGGACTGTCCCTGAACTAAGACCAGACGTTCAGCTGTTACAAGTTGGCAATAATCCACTGGCTTCAGCACAGCTATGCTGGTCATGCCAGCTCAAGAACTGACCCTGAATATTATCAAAGTTATCTTGGAGGTGGCAGGAAAAGAAATCCCTTACAATTTCCTCTTTAAGAACTCAGGAGTTCCTTTTTTGTAACTTCTGAACAATTCAAAATGAAACGTGAAGCACAGGAGACAGGCAACACCACACTGACTGTATTTAATTAGGGTAATCCTTTTTTTTTTTTCCCTTCTATGTGTTTACTACAGCCAAGCAATTATTTATCATACTATCAATTGCTTGAAGCACTATAGACTACAGGTTAAATATTCTCATGTCAATGTGAGCTTCTGCTCCAAGTTCACATTGAAATTTAATGACTTTCATCTTCAAAAGAAATTTTAATGAGCTCAAAGTATCTACCCTTCTGCTTAATTGTTCATACACTTTCACATTCTGTAGATCAAAACCACCTATTTTTTTTTTAACCTGAAAATATTGTTGACAAGCTCTTTCCGGAGCCTTCTTTTTCTGTCCACTTTTTTTTTTTTAACAGTTAAATTCATGTAAGATATAAATTCAGAAATACACAACATATGCGTTCTTAAAACCCGCAACAGATATTGGTGTTACCACTGAAGAAGTTAGTAACAGTGTGTAGCTGACATTTTGATTAGCCTGATATCAGATAGGCTCAGATCCCAGTGTCTGTAACAGTCAAAAACCCCCACTAAATTAGTGGTGGCAGCAATACTGTGGTACACATGCTTGGTACAAATGCCAATTGACTTCTTATAGACTGTGTGTGGAAAAAAGCACAAAAAAGAGTATTTCTTTCTGTGCCTATGTGTGTAGGCAGCTACATATATAATGTTATCCTTTCTTTGCTTTCTCACTTCCATGTGCCTGGCATGTATAAGTCCTAGGTGCCATCACTCAGTCCAGCTGGTGTCTTCATGTGGTCTTACCATTTTGGTATAAGCATCCTTCTTTCGCTCATATTCTCAATATAGATATTGACTGCTATGGTCTGTTTGAACTCAATATAGATAGACAACTCTGTAAGTGGAAGGGTATCACAATTTTTCTAAGAAGCTGTCACTCGAGGTTTGAGTTCAAAGTTCTGGCGATACTTAAAATGTAAATGAAACATGGGTGTGACCCACGATCAGCTGCCAGCAGTTGTAGGGGTTGGAGCTTTCTGAAATATCTAGACTTAAAGAATACTAGAAATTTAACTGTTACAAGCAGTACTTGATTTCCTCTGTTCAGCTCACCCTTACTTTAGAGAGAATTATTTCCTTTTTTGTTTCCTTCAAAACTGTATAGTATATAACTATGTAGTACCTTGCATTAAAATGTGAAATGTTGTACTAGAGCAACTGAGACTGGTAAGCCAGTGGCATTGCACAATATACTGGATGGATAGAGACTGAATGGTTCTTTAACCAGATCTACAGACCTCGTTAAAATCCTTTCTCTGATATTTTTTTTTCCTATCGCACTTGGCAAATTGTTCAGTAGATCATAATCCAGAGAGTCATACGGTACTGTTCCAGCAGCAATAGCTAGCAGGCAACTAAAATGTTGTGGGCCAGATCTTTGAGGTTGTCAGGTGTCATATGTGATATACCAGGAGTGAATTGTCTCCTTATTGTGGTTGATTATTATTTTTTTTTTCAGTTGTGACTATAAAGAAGCGTTAAGAGTCTACGTAGTCTACTAGACCAAGCTTTATCCTGGTACCTAGAAAGGGACCAAACCGAAGCACCACGTCCAGGTACGAGCTATTAACATATAGTAGCAAAAAGTTCAGCATTAATGTTCCTGCATATTTTTTGTTACTGCATAGAACTTTCTGGGGAGAATGCAAAGGAAGGAGACAATCTGGTATTTGTTTTATCATGTGAAACTAGGGATGCTAGACAAAAATGCACTGCATTTGAAATGCTTTTTTAAATACACTTTACACCTTTTTAAATACTTTGTATCTGCTGTGGAAGATTAAATTGGATGTATGTTGCATTCAAAAACAGTTGCAGGTCCTTGAAACTCTTCAAAATCTGTGTTGTTCAGAATAGGGATTAAATCTATTTTCAGGATTCCTGAAGTGCAGCAATAATACACAGTCTTACTGTAGATCTATTAATTTTTAGAAAATAAATAGCAAATCAGTACTTACTCCCATGTCCTTATCTGATGGTCCAGTTTTAGAGTTCAGTTACTAGTTATCAAAGAATTTTAAAAACTGCTCTTTTTTAGCTACTAATTTACCATCAGCCATCCAAAGACAGATTGGTAGGATATAAATGAAATGCTATAATTATACAAGGGAGTGGGTCACGGACCTTTGGATTGCAATATCTTGTCTCTTTTGTCCTTTCCTTCTGCCACCCAGTCTATGCAATGAAATTGCATCTTTTTCTTTGGTTGTCTCAAGAATGAGGTGGTATTGGAAACTAGTGAGGCATAGCACGATGTAGGTGTTCATAGCTTGCAATAATTTATCCATTTTCATTTTCTTTGATTTTATTAACACCTGGGTCTCCAGGGAACACAGGGAGGAGAGGAGGAAAGGAAAGAATACTTCAGCTATAATCTAATGATCAGCACTGCTGCTTCCCCCCCACCCCCCCTCAGCCCTGCTGTTGTGTCAAATGTCGAGATACCTCACAGCCAAACAATTTATAATATGAAGTGTATATATGAAGGAAGAGGTGCAGATGGTAGAAAGCTGTATGTCATGACATGCATACATATGTGGAGGATGGCAAGGGAGTCATTAAAAATATGGATTTTTTTTTTTTTAAAATGTAGTGGCTGATTGTCAGTTGGTGTAATTGCCATGCATCAGTGGAAGTACTCAGAAATACAACATCTAAGGAATTAGTTGCTTAATAGAAATTAGTCAAAATTCCTGATAGAAGTTCTTGGATAGTGTTTGCAGCCAAGGAAAAAAGCATATAAGAGAATATGATTTTGTGAGCTGCTGAGAAATTGCAGAATCTGGGAATTTTCTTCCTGAGTATTTCTGAAGGTACTGGTGTTCCAGGCAGTAGATCACCAAGATTTGTTTTCAAGTCGGACAAAACACTCTGAGATTTGAGAAAATGCAGTCGGGTTTGGTTACAAAGCTGATTTAAACTTAGTCAGATGAATTCAAAAGCAAGCTTTCAAAATCGGAAGCAAAAAGAAGAGTTTTGGTAATGGTATTTCCTTTTCTCACTATGTGTTTTTAATTATTAGAAGACTTTTCCAGTACACTATGAACCTAGCATAGTTGGCCTAACTCTCATTATTATTGTATTTTTTTTAATTATAAAATGAAATAAATCAGCCCAGATTTTTGTGGGAGTATGCCTGTTTGCTCATAAGTGTGATTAATTGGTTTTGTTTTTTAACAGAGCTACTTCTTGTTTTGTAACCAAATAATTCAAATGAGAAATCACTATACTCAGGTGAACGCTATACATTCAACAAAGCCTTTCTTAAAAATCCTATTTGCATTTCATTCTTGAATAAAGTTCCCTCTGTGTGTTGCATTCATCAGACTGGCATCAATACCCATTTGAAAAACTACCAGATTAAAAACAAAAAACGGCATAAAATAGTTCTGTCTTAGAGTCTCTTTTAATAGCGACTTGATATCTGCAATATCTGAGTGCTGTAATCGAATTCTTATAATTAGATACTCTGATTCTTCAGATTTGAAATCTGTGTTCACAATCTGGATGGCAGCTTTTGTTCTTCCTTTGCTTCTGCTTGATTCATGTGTAGGAATTTGGGCGGGGGGGGGGGGGGAGGGAGTGAAAGAGAGAAAAGGATAAGAATTATTTCCAGTAATTTGCCAAAAATACACAGATAATTCCTGACTATCACCTGTCTTGTCCTAGGGGAAATTATATGTAACACAATTTTGAAGATAATGATACTTTCACAGTTTAAAGTGTAGAGAGAAAAAACTGGGCCCACTGCCTAGCTTTCCTTTCTGATTCTTTATACATATTTTCATTAATTGTTCTCTCTAGGTACAAGAATAAAAAATGTAACAGTAACAATTTTGGTGTTTAGCAAAACAAAATATTGTTGTAGTGAGTGTCTTATTCTGCAAGTACCATTTTTTCATCCTAATAAGACTGCTCATGATTTAAAGTACCACATTGAAAAAAGCACACTTCAGTCAAAAGACTAAAAGCAAGGACCTAAATAGTTGGATACGTTCCGAGAGAAAGTTGACTTTAAAAAATATATGTAAATTGAAAAGCCTGTATTCTCTTCTGAATGGTTTGTCTTTCATGGCCTTGACCTTACAGTTTTTTGGCAAAACATGTAAGGGTGTGCTACGCTTCATAGTGTGGTGATCCCTGAACTAATGTGGGAGAAACCACCTCCAGGGTCAGAAGCAGGGTAGCAAGATTATAGTGGACCTATACCATATTCAGTTTGAGGACTTTTTGGGAGCCTGAGCTAACGTTTCTGAGTACACTACTGCAGTCTAGAGATGGCAGCTCGTTCTGAGTTAGCACAAGGATTTATATACCATGGCAATACATTGATCAACTCTATCTGTGGATTAACCCGCCTGTGAATTTTTGGTTTTGCTTAGTCGAATTTCTTGTTCATCAGGCTTTTTAATTATAATTGAACATAACTAAGGTTTTAAACAAAATATTATTTAAAATTGAAAGGATACTTTTTTTTTCCTTAAAACACTGCAAAAAACAGCCAGCTGTAATGAAGTTTGTGGGATTAAATTCAAACTTGCAAACTTTCTCAGTTGAGTGAGGGGGAGCATAGGTAGAGGGAAAGACAAGTTTGTGCAGCAGTAAAATAAAAACTGAAGACATGCTGAAATGGTTGCTTGGATTTGCTATGATTGCCAGTGCTCTCAAGGACAGTTTTCTTCATTCTGAAATGTCTACTTGTGTAGCCGGCAGTGGGAGCTGCAGCTATGGCAGTGCTGTATTGCTCACTACTCATGCTTTAGTGCTGTAGGGGCACATTTCTGGGAAAAATGGAAGGTGGTCAGCAGCTGCATGAACAGGCGAGCTCTGATGTCATCTTCCTCCTTGGTCTTGATCTCAATCTATCATCTATCACATGTTGCTGCTGTATAAATGTGTGACAATAAAATGAAGTCAGTGGGGAGAGGCATGGCCCTCTTCTCACTAAAGAGCCAGAGCCACGTGGCGTGCAGGTGGGTGAGATCCCCTGGCTGTGTAGGAGAGAGGCAAGCATATTACTAGGTTCAAGGGTTTACATCCACTTTTGTGTGTGCGTACACCATTACTTTTTGTATATTAATAATTATGTCTGTTTGACTCTAAATTCTGTCACCTCTACAGACAGTGAAGCTGTCTTTTCTTCCTGCAAGTGAAATGCTTAGCACCACAGGTTCCTACTGTCTGTGCATACTAGTTTAAAAAGTATTTCATACATAGTGTTCCAGTCATCTATGTGATTAGTGTACTTGAATGGAGGGCACTTTAAATTCTCACAGAATTGTACTTCAGTCCCTCTAGTTGACTTGCATAAAACTACAGTGCGTCTCTGGTGAGGAACTGGTTGTAACAGTGTTACACGTCTGGCTTTTGTCTCTTCCTTCCCCTACTGCCTGTTTCGTTGGAACAAGTCAAGATTCCTAGTGGACTTTGATCAGAGGATTATCGGGAGTGCTCAGAATCTAACAACCTCAAAGCTAACAGTTACTGGAGAGTGACAGGAAACAAACTGAATTTATGACTAAAGGTCAGGAATGGTACCTCTCTGACCCAAACTGTGTTTTGCTGAGTGAGGGGACATGCTGAACAACAACTCCTCCCCTAGGGATAAAGTGAAATAACCCTGAGCTCATCTTCTGGGTAATACTTATATTTGCTGTTACATCGGACTCCTCAGGATGATAAGAAAAGCACAAAGCCTGACACCTAACCCGAACCATAAACATGTTTTCTCTAGCACACTGTAATTCTAATCAAACATCAGATACAGGTGGCTTATGTTTTTGGGGAATGCTGGCAATGAGGTTCCCGGGGAACAAAACTGTTTACTTTGATATGATGGCTTTTTTACTAATCCTTAAAAATTCCCTAATGGGAGAAATACAGAAACGGTAAGCTTTGAATTTAATAAGGTGTTGCAAGAAACAAATGGGTGCATGTTGCCCAGATTGTACGCTGCCGATAGCCTGTGATCCCTTTCACTCACACTGTTATCAATAATGCTATGACTGATCATGCTGATGTCTACCAAATAACCTAGGTATAGTGGCTTGTGTGAGGACTAATAACAGATGATGATAACCTCACAGCAACTGGAAGTAAGGACAAATTCCTGTTTGCATGGCTTGGCTACTAGTAACATTCAGCATAATGCTAGAGCTGTCATTCTTGTATCCGTTCTCTGTTCCTACCACTGTCACTTCTTCTTTCCAAATCCTGACTCTTAGCATGTTAGAAAAGCAGCTTTGGAGAGTATCTGTTTAATTGCTACTTTTTCATTTTTATATTGCTCTGTTTGCTCTTGTTTACCACCCTCCTTTAATCTAATTCAGTGTTTAAACTGATGGCCTCTTGTAAATGTAACGCTCACATGGTTTCTACTCTTTATGCATTTGGGGTGAAAGCTTCACTAGAATTAGAAATATAGGAAGTCCATATGCATCTGGTGCATCTGATGTCATGTCAGTGATGTAAGCGCAGGAAAGTTCTAAAGATCTAATTTGGAGATTAACATAGTGAGAAAACTGGAACTTAGATGAAAAGGATTGGTTGGGTAGCA